GAGGAGATAAGGTTAGTTGGAATATCTATTTCCCTTATGATAGAATCCTTAGCTATCTTTATCAACCATTTATCAATTTGTTAGAGGATCTCAATCTGGTGGTAATCCATCCTCATCTTAAGGATGAATTAGTTTGGGAGTTAGATAATGATGGCCAGTTTTCTATTAAATCTGTTTACAGACTTCTCTTTTTCGATATAGTGAGATGGAGGTTACCAAAGATTTCGCAGATTTGGAAATGGATGGTCCCTCATAACGTGCAAGTGTTTTTATGGTTAGTGGCGCAGGATAAAATCCTTACGGTGGATAATCTCATTAAGAGGGAGAAGATAATTACGAACATATGCTTAATGTGTATGGCGGATGGAGAAACGGACACGCATCTTTTTATACATTTTTCGTTTGTTTCTAAAATTTGGTGGTGGTGTTTTTAGATGATGGGGATCAATTTAATATTGCCACAAAATGTTGTGGATTTGATTGTTCAAATGGATGTGCCTCTGCCCAAGCTTAGGGGATATATTTGGAAAGTTTTATGGGGAGCTATTCTATGGGAAGTATGGTTGGAGAGGAATCAGAGAACTTTTGAAGGGAAGGTGAACAGTTTTGATAAAGTGATTAGTAACATCAAGTTATCTCTCTGGTCTTGGATCTCTAGTACTAAAGAAGGGGAGGGTATTTCTAAAACTGATATTATGTTTAATCTTTTGTATCTATTTCAGCTGGATGTGCCTAGAAATAGACATTGTGTTAGATGGAAGCCTACTAATCAGGGAGTCTTAAAGTTGAATTTTGATGGCAATTCTTTGGGGAATCCGAGGTCTGCGGGTTTTGGGGGTGCGATTCGTGATAGGCAAGGTAATGTGTTACTTGCTTATGCAGGTTCATGTGGCTCAAGAAAGAACAATGTTCCCTTGGCAACTTCAATTGATAGGCCTGCAGAGTTTTGTTTTGATAGCGGAGCTATCTTTATCCTTTGAACATGTGTATAGGGAGGCAAATTCAGTGGCTGATTCATTGGCCAAGAGAGGAGTACTTTTAGACTCTGTGGTGGTTGTTGATTATGTTGTTTCTTCGATGTAATTGTGAGCTTGTTATAAATAAAGTTGGAACGTTGTCCAAAAAAAAAGAAAAAATAAAGTTGCGAAAATTACAAATAACCCCGAAAAAACAATACTTTTTTTTTCACTTTTTACCGAAAAATATACTTTCCTAGCAAATACCCTCCAAGTAAAAAAAATACATTTTTTTATGAAAATACCTTTTTAGTACATAAATATTTAATTTTGGCCAGACAAATGGGCTGCCAGACTGCCATGTACCAATTGTTGGACCCCTTTAAACTCAAAAAAGTGTTGGACCGCTCTTTGACATTGCTGAACCACCGGTTGGATCTGTTGTCGGACCGCATGGGCATGTTACCAGACCACATGGGCCTATTGCTGGACTGCAGGGGCCCATTGCGGGACCGCTCTTCGGTAGTGCCGGACCACATGGGCTTGTTGCCAAACTGTTATTTGTTAGTGCCGGACCGCTTTGGATATTGTCGGACCGCTTGTTTATACTGTTGGACCGCTTTTAGATATTGTCAGACCGCTTGTTTATACTGTCGGACCGCCTTTTTATGTGTTATGGGAAAAATTAAGTAGTCGGTGTTAGAAGAGAGAGGGCATTTTGGTCTTAAAAACTATAATTGTTTTACTGAGGGGGTATTTGCTAGAAAAGTTTGTTTTGAGGTAAATGTTATGATAAAAAAAATTGGTGGGGGTAGGTTGTAAAGAAAGCTGGGTCAAAGGGGGTTTTTATAATTTCCCAATAAAGTTTATATTATGTGCCAACCTTGGACGGTAAAAGTGAGGTGTACCTCACTACACCTAAAAAGGTACTTTCGATATTAGAAAACCCTCTTATTGATCATCTTGACCTCGAGATGTACCCAGTTTGTATGTGGCCAAGCCCGCATATGAAGAAATGCGAACCTCTTAATAGATCTATTTTTGAGATGGATTTTAAGACTTAATTTTTAAGGACATGTAATCTCTAACAAAGAGATCATGAATATAAAATAAATAAATATATTTTAAAAAATAGAAATAATAATTCTAATAACAAAATATTTGGACCGTTAGTTTTCATTGTTTTTATATGGAACATCAACTTGCATCCATCTTTAAGATGGATGCTTTACACTTTTTGGATAG